GGGAAGTAGAGAGTACACAAACAAAAAGGAGTGAAGCCTCAACGAAGCTTCAGAAAAATACCTTTTTACATAGGAAAAGGCAACAGTAGATTTTAAAAGCATAAATTGGTCCTGATCCAAATGGTGGAAAACGGAAACCTTTATCTGGCCACACATACTCTTGGCTTGTGTTATGATCTTCAGTGTTCAAGGTTCCGCATTGAGCCTGTATTTCTGCTGTGACCTTGAGAGGTCTATGCATTGAGAATTTTCAGGAATGACTGAGACATGTATTCATGCAATAGCTGGCCTCCTTTCACGCTCTAGTACAGAAATGATAAACTAAGCCCTTTGAGTTCAGAGACGATGCGGAAACGATTGGATTCTGTCCGGTTACATCACGGACCACCCGAGCAATGTAAGGAGCTTAACTGTGACAGAACGTGCAACAATTAAGAAGCAGGAGACAGTACACTGAAACCCTCCCTGACCTATAACCATCTGCAGATGGGACAAAAAAGATGTTTCTATGACACTGGCATAGAATGCAGAGCATGAACGAGACTATCCAAGCAGACAAATTATAGTCTCAAGGAAGTCTTGATCTATTTCCAGTTTTACAAAATCCATAACAGTTGCAGTTACGGCTTATCAGCTGCACTGCACAGCAACATTTCAAGACACAGCTTATTTTTTAACTCGGCTTCAGTTGTCTTCATCTGGCTTCCAAGTTCATTTAAAGCATTCATAATTGAAAGCTACTGATATCAAAAGGAAATAAACTTAGTGGTCCAGAGATGATCTGTGCAGCTGTGTAGCTCAACAGGTTGAGACAGTTTACAGTGGACTGGGTTATGGACCACAACTGCCCGCAAATACCGGAAATCTGTGAATATGGGGAAAAACACGTCTAAAAGTACTTATAAGTGTCTATTTTATTAGTTCAATTCCCAATACACCCTAATATGAATTAATATGCACAGTGAAAACCATCTTGGCACTAGAGCACAAGCTAACATCCGCAATATTCTTTATCTTTATTATTGGGGGTACAGCCAATCAGCAGCAAGCAAAACAAATTGCAATCCTGGATTGCCTCCTTTCCAAATGCTAGCCAATACCTTTGCACCTAGGTTTCAACTTTCCAGCTATATTTTCTTTCTGATAATTTACCTTGCTCAACAAAAACCCCTCTAAATTGGCAAATTTTCTAGAAATAATTTGAAATTGCTCTCCAAAGAAAAATTTACATATAGGTGAATCCATGAATACTGAGCAGCTAAAACGTGTGTACATTTTTAACACTACTAAATATCTGAAAACCCATTTTAGACATTATTAGTTTGCTCAATTGTTTTATTATTTAAACTGTTGCAGGTAAAATCCCTGAATAAATATTTTACACAAAATCTATAAATGGTACTTCTAAGTTATTATTCTAAATAAATTATGAAGCCCTGCTAAACTCCTAATAATTATCAGGTGGTCTTAATAAATCTTTCTTCAGATGTTTTTGTTTTCAAACTCTGCTTAATTCAATTTGAATTTATTTTATTTCTCTGATAAAAAAAAAACCAAAACATTTTTAATGGCTTTTTGGTGTTTTTTTTTTTTTTTGATGCCTTGACTTATATCAGTTTTTAAATTGTTTTTTAGATTTCATCCTAAAGGACTTGCAAGTGAAATATCTACGACAGATCAGCAATTTGCTGCTGAATAGCCACGATGAAAATTAACGTATAAGACAGAAAATATGAACATTTTCTTTTTTTGTCCTTTGTAGTGAAAGCACAGTTCATTTTCCACCTCCATCTGACTGAGTCATTGACTGGTAGCTATGGATTGCACTACACTGCAAGTTTATTTCTGCAGCTAAGATTAACCTAATGGAGAGAGTGTGAAACAATCCATATGCAGTTTGTTGTTGCTGATACTTGGTCTTGATGCATGGTGTTATGCAGCATATAGCTGTATAAACTGGATTTTTGTTGGTGTCTTTTGATGAGGCAAAGCCTCATCAAAATGTTTGTGCTGCTATTGCTGCAGGTAACTCAGACATGACGCCTCTGTAAGTCCTTTACTGAATGTTATACATCAGTCTTTAGGTAAAAAAGAGAGAGAAGCGGCATCACCTTTAAAGTTTAACAGTTTGTAAAAGACAAAACAGAAACAATTTTATCTTCTTCAGTCTGACAAGGAAATGCGTAAAGAGAAGATTTTACACATCAAAAACTGCATGTTAGAAAAGTAAGCAGCACAAGTAGTTATGTAATGAGATTAAAGGCGGCAGTCGCGCAGTACAGAACCCAGCTAATGACTTACGACTGCAAAACATCCCACTGCTGTCCATGTGTATGACTGGATAATTTTTTAAATGGTACGTATGCTAAGAATACATTTGGCAATTACCAAGAGGGCAACCTACAGACTCAGCAATAGCCTCACAAATTGCAGACAGAATACTATTATCATGATGCATTAAAAAACCTCAGACAATGATGCACTTCAAAATCAACTGAGGCTTTATAATTTAATCATAGTTTCAGGGAGAGGTTTACATACCCTCATAATGACATTACATTCGGGTTTTTTTTATAAATGTTAAATGTTTAATCATTGTTTGAGCGTGAAATACATTTTCAATATGTTTTAAAAGGAATGTTTAGATTTATAGTTTCTAATCCACATAGGTTAAAATTCTAAACACAGCTTCTAATATAAACAAACACTAACAATTTGAACCTCAACCAAATGCTTTTGTTTTCATTAAAATCTCGTAGTTGGCTATTTGACATGTCTGCTTGAATTTATTTAAAATGTTTGGTTTGCTGGTGAAATCTTAAGCATTGATGGCAAACCTTCAAAAGGAATAGGGTCAGGATCATTTGAAGAGCATTTCAAAACAAGTGTTAATGAGTGTTGGGATCACTGTTTTCCTGAAATAGCCAGTTCTGTCTGGTCTGAGGTTCAATCGTTGGACCCAAACAGTCAGCCTCAGAAGAAACGTGATTGGCTAGAACATTTAAGAACAACCCAGGAAACACTTACGCCCAAGTTGATCAATAATTGGTGAAACCAATGTAACATCAAAACATATTTAGAGTGTTCAAGAAAGATGTGCGTTCTTGCAAACCTCTTCCAACTTGCCTGAAATCTGCAGCCGATTTCTGACCCTTAGGGAATTAAAGACAGTCCATTACAAATTCAAACTCGTACACCCAATATTTTATATTAAAATCACTAAGATCTACGTTGGATAATCAGTCCAGCCTAAAACAATAGAATACATAATAATTAGGAGACTAAAACTGGCATGCCAAGAATTAATTAAGAGTGGATTTAAAGTAATGTAAAATACCTAAAAGCGTAACTCTGGTTCAGAAGAAGGAATCCTTCATGCTTTTGTTGGCATTTTTATTTTAATACTCTTAACACATCTTTGTTCTTACTGTCTTGTCCCACTCAATTACTGCAGTACAAATTTACACACCCAGAAACACACTTACACCAGCTATTATCAATTAATTCTCAAAATAACACTCGTGCCCCCAAAGTGTCAAAGCTTGATTAAAAACCAGTGCTTAAATAATAGTTTTCTAATAATATTTGTGTCATTGTGGTGTAATTGACATTCACTGCAAGGACAACATATTCCTTAAATATAATGTATATTTGATTAAACACAAAAATATAAACTCTTGTTTTGCATTATATACTTTTAATTCAAATAAGCAACGCTGAAAGTTAAGGTCATGTGTTTATTAAACAAAATAATTTGGGGAGTCCTCAGATGCTTCCTTTGCAAAAACTCCCAGCATGCATTGCATTTCAAGGTCATCTCTTAACAGTCACTCTGTCTCTTTGTTTTTCAAATCAAAATAACAGGACATAAAGGTAAAATTGACAGGGCTGTGCACCATATGGTGCTATTGGCTTCCTCCAGAGGGTTTTTCAAACATTGTGTAACCTCCTGTTTATATAAAAACGAAACAATCCGTCATGTACTTAGAATAAATCCCAATTTAATGACAGTTCTGAAATACAACTTTCTGAAAATTTAATTTCCATCTCTTGTCACAAAGGAAAATTCGTGAGGATAATCTCCGCACCAGTATCAAATTGCACTGCGGTGTCTTTTGCCCTCGAGTGTCATTGAGGAGCTCCGTGTCAGCTCAAGTAACAGAATGATGCTATTTCTGACTGACGGCGTCAAGATTTTTCTGACCTTCTTTTTCATCGAGCACGGAGCAAAATGCAGAGCAGGAGTCCATTTTCACACACAAAATAAAGGTAGAAATCTCAGATAATAAGACTGACTTCGTCTAAAAAGCTTTGAAGAAAATCTTAAACCGATGGGGTTAAAGTCAGCCCTCAGATTTTCTAAGGAATTTATTTGCCAGACTGTGACATAAAGTGTAGAGCTTAACCCAGAATTACACATTTCGCTGCGTTTTATTACTCTCACAGTGGAATGCTGTTTGTCAGCTCTTCACATCGGTGTCGAGGCAATCACTGATGTGAAATGGTCTGTTTAGCTGTTGACAGCACTCCATTCTTGACTTTCTGGTGTTTTAGAAGTAATGAGGGAAGAGATATGAGCAACATACAGGTTTTTCAGTGGCTCATACCCAATGCCCGATCTGGTAGAAGAGATCTGAGAGATGCGCTCAGATCTTCTACACAGCTCACTTTGTTATTTATTTAACGAAAGCCTGTGTCAGACTAGTTACATAAAATGTTTAAAGGGGTCAGTTTGCTAGTTGCTACACTCATCGCATACTTACACATTGCCATAATGTTGCAGCTCAACATTACGCATCGGTTTATTTCAATTTGTAATTTAGTATTTTCACGAATAATGAAGATGAGTAGTTATAAAAAAATCTAGAAATCTCAGATGAAGCTTAATGTCGTGAACTCAGTAGGAAAAATGCCATGTCAGCAAATTACAAAGGTACAAAAAAACATGAAGGGGTGAAATGACCTGAGCTTTTAAAGTAAAAACTGTATTTTCAACTCACCTTGGGTTGCACCTCTACTTCCACCACTTGGTTCTTGTGCATGCAACCCTTGACAAAGCCCTCAACCGTGCTGTTGAACTTCATAAAGATCACATAGGCAGCGTAGGCGGAGAGCAGTGTGAGACTTTCCCAGATGGTGATGATGTTATCCAAGAAGAAGATGATGAGCATGATCAGATCCAGGATGTAGAAAGACACGTCGCGGAAGAGCGGCCACCATGTCAGGTTGAGGATCTCCTTGGAGAAGATGGCGCACATCCCGATGACAAAGAGGATGTTAAAGACGGCCGAGCCTACAATGGTGCCGATGCCCACGTTGCTGTGAGAGATGAAGACTCCAATGATGGAGGTGAAGAGCTCTGGGGCCGAACCGCCAGCCGCCATGAAGGTGGCACCTGCCACGTCGTCTGAGATGGAAAGCTTCTCTGTGATTACAGTCAGTGCTGGAACAAAAAACTCGTCACACACGATGGCTAAGGCAATGAACATGTAGATCATGCCAAACATATGGAGGACCACTGCTCCTTGTCGCCTCTCCTCCAGGGTAAAAAGGTCCTGTGGGTACTCCCCCTGTGTCTCATTGTCATCTGCTGTGGACTTCATGGCTATGGGCATGTCAACGGACGCATTTGGGTCCCCCTGATGTGGGGTGAAAAGTAGGGTCCTGTGTGGGGTTGACTGCTGAAGATCCACCTGGGGGAGCGATGGCTCGCTGAGCCCATCTGAACTCCGGCTCAAGGCACTGATAGAGACGGCACTTAAAGCCACCAGGCTGAATACCAACCCCAGAACCCGAACAGGCCGGAGCTTTTTCCGCAAATATCTCCGTCCAGGCTGCTTGCAGCCAACGCCTTCTGCAGATCTTTTCTCCGAACAGTCCATGCTGGGCTGATCTGAAGCTATGATGGTGCAGCTCTCAGTGTCCTCGCTCTTAACAGGTGGTTAGGAACTTTGGGGAGTTAAACATTGTATTTCCCTCAGATTCAAATAAGATGAGAAGGTTTTCGGTGCTGTCCAGGATCCAGTTTTCCAAAGGATGTCATCATATCAGCCTTCGCTAGATAACATTGAAAGAATAGAAAAAGAATTACACAACTTCATAAGGAGGAAAGTCAATAACCCAAGCCAAATTCAACTGAAAAGATAATCTTGGCCTCTATCTAAACAAAGAGGAAAAGTGACAGAAAAGTCACAAGATTGCCTTTATTCAGGTCCAACAACATGATCACTGGCATATATAGGAAATTAGACTATTTATATTTCAATTATTGCACCTGTCAAAGGGTTGGCAATACAGCTGAAATCTGAATTTCTTCAAGTTGAGAAGTCTACGCAAATGTCCTCTGTATTTGATACAATCGTTTCTAAATAGTACGACTTGAGTCCAATATTTCTGTATCCTTCAAGAGATTTCTCACAAAGGTTTGCCGAAATTTTGACCTGCACCTGGTGAGGTATTTCTAGGAAACAAAATGTCTCTACTTACTAAAAAGTACATTGATTGGATGTTGATAATGACTGAATTAAATTCATTGATAACCGCAACACCTTCAGGAGGTTCAAAATTACCTTCCTGATTTCTTTATTTTTCCAAGATGACATGTAAGGATTATGTTTGAGGTGTTAATGTTAAAGTGCATCTACGGATGTGCCCAACGTACCAATCAGAAGATCACATAGTTTGATCTTCATAGGTCATAGTTTGATAGTCATAGTTTGGGCTTTCCCAAAATGTTTAAAGACAGCAGTTGTAATGTATGTAAACTTCTAAAATTGAAGAAAACAATAAGAAAAATTTTTTCCAGTATTTTGAATAAAGAAAGAAAAACATTGGTTATTCTAACTGATCTAACACATATTTTAGCTTGACTTAATTATCACAGGAAGTTATAAATTTTTTAATATAGCACATGCAAAAATCTGGGCAGAGTGTCTTCAGAACTGCATCTTTCGTGAATTGTTATCAGTCTTCAGGAGTCAGTGACTCTTAATGTGGTCAGAGGAAAGCACGAGGCTGAACCGCTGCGAGGGTCCTGGACAACCCAGGTTTTTTAAAGCATGCGTGGTGTAAACCAAGAGACAAGCAACTGTAACTCAACTTGCCGAATCAGTTATTGCAGGACCTGATAGAAAGGTTTCCACATTCACAGCGCATTGCAGTTTGTTGCATAGCCGCAGACTACTTAGAGTGCCAGTGCTCGCCATAATGCTTCTCTTGATCAGTAATAATACCTCTGCTGATGTCTAAGTCCTTTGTTGGTCTCATCAAATAGAACAATCGCATGCAATAAATAAACATCTAAATGTAGCCGACAAGTTTTTGCCGTTCAGCTTACTTTTAGTGTCCTTGTTTAGCAGGACATTAAAATTGCATTTTTCTGGACTAAAAAAAGAATAAAGAGTGTCAGCTGAAACAGCTGGAAGCCAAACAAACAGAGGAGTTGTGAGTAAAGCAGATGGGAAAAAACAAAACAAATTAGTTAAAAAAAACCCATAAAAGCTGAGCTTTATGGTAGAAATCTAAATGTAAAAGGAGACAGAAAAAAAACAGACTGATTTGAGAAACTACCTGAAATATTATTCCTGTGGACAACACTGAACTGCAACTCTTGCAAACAATAACAGAGTTTATTTAATGCATGTAATTATTGTTCTGTGAGACAAAGCTAAAAAGAGTTAAGACAACCAAGGTACAGGGATATTATAACAAAACTAAACAAGAATTGACATTTTTTAACCACAGGATGACCATTACCATCCTCATTCGGAAACCCAACTGATAGATTGATCTTCAAAATCAGCCGAGTCACATTTAAAATAACTGCATAAGATGCAGAGAGTGAAACTTATCATGCATCAGCATGGTCATGGCTGAATTAACGGATCACGCAACAATTTCAAAATAAAAGGGTGATATTTGCTGCTTTTACCAGGAAAACATGTACAATGAACAATGAAATACGACACCCGCGGTTCACAAGACAGGACTTGATTGCAGTCTGTAAGAAAAACAAAACAACAACAAAAGAACAAAAACAATAGCGTGACGCTTCGCAGGTAAAGGAGGATAAACACCCGGCACGCACGCGTCCTGCCCGCACTGTTTGACTTCTTAAGAGATGCTTGCTGCCTTCACGGCTGAACTCTTTCTTCCCCCTCCACCCTCTCCCTCCACTCCCTGTCTGCCCTTGAGTTTCGCCCTTTCCCCTTAAACCACTAACCATTCCCCCCCCCCACCCCATCCCCACCTCGACATAAAGAGCCCAACATTATCCGCGTCCCCTTGTTTTTTGGCGAGGCGCATGACGCGCAGCCAGAGTCATGCCTTACCTTTGACACAGGCGAGAGAAAAACAGGCGCACGGCTCGGCTGCACGTTGAGATTAGGAAATCCTCTCCGGTGCCCTCTTGCTCTCATTGAGCCAAACAAACCAACAAAAAAAACCAAAAATGTGACCACTCGCTGACGATAGAGGAGGAGCTCTATAAACAGACACACAGAGAGAGAGAGAGAGAGAGAGAGAGAGAGAGAGAGAGAGAGAGACTCACAGCAGCGGGATCAGCAGCATCCTTCACGGTGATGAGCGCAGAGAAATCACCTCTCGTTGTTGAAAACGACTGATGGTGTCCTCGGCGTGGCCGACCACGTGATCTGCCCGGTTTATTAATAACAGGTTAATAGAAGGCAGGTAAGTGAGCGAGCGGCAGGCTGCGTGCCTCCCCTGTTTTGGCTCACGCAGATGAGGCTTTGGTGATGTTTCAGTTCAGAGGGAGGAGTTGCCGTGGTTACACGGCAAAAGGCAGCCCGTTTCCTCTGATGACGGAACAGGTGGATGCGCTCCAGCTCAGCGCTCCGATCTGCACGCCTTGGGTCATTTCAAGGTTACCTGCAAGCTGGGGCTCCATTTCTTAAAGCCAAAACGCAAATTTATGAAGTTGATCACCTTTATGTTGCATTCTCTCCCTTTGGATTAAGAAAATTGCACCAAATTGTATGCGACTTTCCAGTCTACCTAATCACCATACATCACCAAAAGGGAGGCATGATAGTGAATGATGTTGTAGAGTAAACACTGACGCTTCTCCCCTAAGAGACTGCACAGTCTATTATCCTGCTGAAAAAGAATATTATACAAACATGGCAATTAATACTCAAAAAGTTCTGAATAGATTTTTGTAGCACTCTTTGGGCCTCTAAGTATCACCCAACCCCTATACAGCAACCTATGTCAGTAGCAACTTTATACAAGTAGCAATTAACAGAGTATAACATATGCATTCTGGCAGATATATGTGTTTCATGAGTAAATTTTGGTCATTTCATAACATTTTTTAGGAAATCATTTTGGGTGCTATGCTACCACATAGAGAATAAGCACATTTCCATAAATGTTGAACTAATTTTGATGCATTTAAACACAAATTGAAAAAAGGTCACAGTTGCTTCAATGTGCATATTTCAAGCTTTTATCTGACAGCCGAACAGTCAGGATGGATGGAAGTTTGGATGAGGGGATAAACAAGATGGATAGACTGATGAGTGGATGGATGCGATGCTGCATGAAGCCTTAACGGTGCCCCGAGTTACACGTTTTTCCCCTGTCATGTCGCATAAAACCTCAACCACTTAGCACCAGGCAGGTTAAACTCTGTTAGAGGGAAGCAGACATGCAATGTTTACACACTGTCTGTGTGACAGTAATGGCCTGGTGCCGAATAATAAATCACATGTCGCTGACCTTATTGATTCTCGCCTTCTGTGCTTTTCTGTTTCACTCCACAGCTATTTCTTCTTACCTAACAGGAAACATGAAGGTTGAAAGCATCAACTTGCTTTATGTCATTTTACCAGTCAATACTGTACTCTGATGTTTGGGAGTGTCTGTACTTTCCTATTGCATTCTAGAGGAATACTTTTTGTCTGAACTGATGGATCTTGTATTTTTAATTTCCGTAGACTGTGCTGCATGTTGCACAGGTTTTTCTCATTGTCAGCATAATAAATATGTCTGAGCAGAGGGATCTTAATTCAATCCAATCACATGTACCGTATTTCCCGGACTATAGACCGCACCTCACTGTAAGCCGCATCTACAAAATAAAAAAAATAAATAAATAAGAAATTGGCACCGGGTGTGATTCAATGTGTGGGGGAAAAAAGTAGCGGCTTAGAGTCCGAAAAATACAGTACATTCAAATTGATTGCAGATTTCAAACAATGGACACAAATTTAGTTAATTACTCAAAGTGTCCTTTACCTAAGAAACTCAGCAGATTGCAACATGCTCAGATTGCAGCATTCACTCCTCCTGGGCGAGCGCACAGCAATATTGGACAGTCACTTGACTTTACAGCAGTTTCTCATAATGATCATGCAGGCATACTCTCTTTTAACATCAACCTCCAGCAGCTCAGTAGGAGCAGCCATTTGCGACCAACTTTGAAAAGACACTCCATACGCAGAAAGAACTAATGAAAACAATAATCTTAAAGTTTCAAATGATTCAATCTTAAAGCAACACTAGAAGACTCATAGGATTTGCGAGTATTAGAGAACATAGTTTTACACAAATAGCTTGAATCACTCTCAAATTTCCAGAATTCATTCATTCATCCATCTATCATCCATCCATCCATCCGTCTACCAGCTGGTCAGGGGTACTGGTACCTATCTTCAGTGACCATGGACTGAAATCTTAACCAGAACAGAATAATCTGATACATACAACAAAATACTATTGAAACACTTATTTGTTTCAGTTATTCAATTCACAATGTGAGACAAATTAAAGAAATTAATTGCAAAACACAAACTGATGTTTCCAAACCTCCATTTCTCCTAATTGTGATGATTTTCTTCTTGCAGTTAGTGAAAACAGAACACTTACATTGATAATGTTACATCAGACCAGTACAGACTGAATTTAATACAGAAATGTCAGCGTAATGTCAGCGAAAGTATTAAAACCTTACCATCATACTTAATGGCTTCTATTTTCAAAAGGTACTTTGAATCTGACAAATGAGCCTCGTCGATTCACAAATTCTAATTTAATGAATATGACGATATGCAATGTGTTATTGCATCTTTAGCAAGCAGTGTATAATACAAATAGACCAGGTGACACAAACGGGCCTTCACACGTCCCCTTCCATCTTTTTAATGATGTTTCTCTGCAGAGGCTTGTCTAATCAGGACACATCAGCATCAAAAAGTCCCCCACAAGCTGTTTCAAATTAGATCTGTCAATACTTTTGCCTATCAAATGAGATCAGATCCAAGCTGTCAGCTATTTTGCAACAAAGGGCCCACTGTGCACAGACAAGCCTCTCCTCTACCAAGCATTACAGGCTTGTCCTGACCTGGCTGCATTTGCTGCATAAAAGTGATGACTGGTCATTGGTAAAGTACGCTGCACCAGGGGAGGACGGAGAGGGCGGAGGGGGTGGTGGGTTGACGGGGCAATGGTGGCAGTTCTTTTGATTCATCTATAATCTGTGGTGTGGCAAAAGCAACAGAAATTTCCATGCTGGCCCTGCCCTCCCCCTACCCGGCCCACCCTAACTTTGGCCCGGCAGCTAAATCCGAGCCTTTGTGCCCCACATAGTTGTGTGGATTTGTCAGCAGTGAAGTGCAAGCGGTGGGACATAAATAGGGTGGCAATAATGAAGCAAGTTTTTTCCAATGAACAGGACAGTGGGAATCAATTAAACCAGAACACTGTTGTAAAAAAAAAAGTGATTTATATTAAAAGGCCTTTTGGCCTTTTAGATGACGAGGGAAATAAATATCTGAACAACAAATCCTAGATAAAGTTCATTGCCATGAAAATGGTTTTGTCACATTTTGTCATATTACAGGCTCAAACCTCCAAGCATTTTATTGCGATTCTGTGTGACATATCAACATAAAACAGTGCATAGTTATTAAGTAAAAGCAATAAAGTTTAATGGTTTTCAAAGATTAAAGAAATTGAGAAGGTACATTACTGCATTACAGTTGTATGTCTCTACTTTTATGTCTCCATTACCTTTGCAGAGTTTTGTCCATTTTTGTGTTGCAAAATAAGACAGATTCAGGCAAATTGGATGGAAAGCATCTGCAAACATTAATTTTCAACTTTTGCCACAGATTCTTAACAGAATTTAAGCCTGGACTTTGACTATGCCATTCTAAAATATTAATATGTTTTGACCAAAATGGTAAACCTTCACCATGGTCTCTACAAAATTTTCTTCATATTTTGCTTTATTCATCCTCCAATCAGCTCTGACCAACCTCACTTGTGTCTTTTGCTGAATAAAAAGACACAAACAGCACCCCAGCATGATACTGCCACTGCCATGCTAGCTATGCATGTTGTCTTTATGGATAACAAATTCACTAAACTTTCTGAAGTAATTCACCGTCTCTACATATCTACTTGGCTGTCTATCCAACTGTCCACTTAGTTCCACTTAAACTGACTATGTGGATAGGTGTATTCTGTGTTTGAGCTATTAAAATAGGCAGTTTTCAGCTTTATCAGGGATCTCAACTATTTACGGATATTAGCTATTTGCAGGCCGCTTTGATCTCTAATGCTTGCAAATTCTGGAGGTCCAATGTAATGCTAAAAATTTTTTATGAATAAATCCTGTACTGTACCTCACAATGCCCAGCTTATATGTATCTCTGCAGAGCACGACGGGGCTATTTGCACCTTTTCAAATTCCCAAATTGAAAGGACCTTACTACAGAAATAGAGTTTCCATATGTTGTTTGTTATCGGTCATGGAGAAGTCTCATCTGAAGTGGTATTGCACTGATGCAGGATATGTGCTGCATTACGAGGTTAATCCATAAATCAACAGCAACACAGATGGGCCGACCTGTACGGCTGCAGGGATGAGTTTTTAACAGAGAGGGAGGGAAGAAGCTCAAAGTCCGTGTCCATGTGTTTGCCCCTCTGTCCGTCTGGGACAGAAGGGAAAGAGACAGCAGTATAAGCGTGGGCAAAAACCCAAACAAGAGCAGCAGGAGGGAGAGGCGCGGCAAAGAAGTACAAAAAATGTTTCGTGAGATGATGACATTGGCAAGGCAAAAGTGGAGCTGTAAGCCTATTTTAATCGCAGTGGATTTATTAAACAGGAGCAGCAGGTTTAAATCTCAGCAGATTACACAGGAGGCCCAAGGAGATGTGTGTGTACATGTGTATGGGGGGGTGGTGGGGTCCCAGGTTGGAGAGGCTTGTGTAATCAAGTGGACTTTAGGTGAAACGGCTTTTCTTTGAAGAAAATAAGAAAAAAGAAAAAACATAAATTTGGAATTCAATGACAGGACGTTAGACGGCTTAAATAAAAACTTGCGACCGTCATAAATTTATTGATATGACTTTGGATTAACAGCAGGAATTAAAACTGAGGCGTACCCTTTAAGAATAATTACTTCTTGAGAAAATACGGCTGCCTGCAGATGTTACAAATTGTTTTAGCTTGAACCTCTGTTTGTCTTGGCTGACAGCTTGTTTGGTGTCTTTGCAAAAGACCTTGAATCTCCTGGAGAACAGTTGATGCCTGATCCCTGTGCAGCTGCAGTTAATCACAGCATCAGTGATCACTTTACCCTTCTGAGATCAATAGAGATTATTTATTTATTTATTTATTTATTTATTTATTTATTTATTTATTTATTTATTTATTTATTTATTTGTTTATTTATTTATTTATTTGGGTGCACCCATGTTATGCCCAGCTCACACTACACGATGGTCGGGC